AATGCCAAGCAGGGTAACCACCAGTGAAACCTGTTATGAAAACACCAAAAAGGAGCCACCCTCTAAGATTAATACACATTCCATTGAAGCTCAGTCTAAATTAGTGGCTTTCTTGAGTGATATCTCCACTGCTGACATCTGCTGAACTACTACCAGGAGTTCCCTCCACACCTTTACCAAGTGTTTTGCCATTTCAGAAGCTTCCAGTGTGTAGTAACTTGTTTCTGCAGTGGTTGATGCATGAAGCATGCTATGTCTCCCTACCAAGCACTGTGATTGTTAGGAGGAACTGCAGTATAAATACAAATATGGGTCATCTATATTAATAATTTCTGTTTCAAGATTAAAAAAAATGTTTTCATACCAGTTAACGAAATTGTCAAGGATGTACTGTTTATGAGCACACTCCCTTCACACAATCCTTCTCCATGGTGTTTGAGTCTTTCTCAGAACTCAGTCTTGGGATTCGTGATGGAAAAGGAAGTCAGACAGTCTCCACATTATGTACAGAGCAAAGCCAACAAGCCTGATAGAAAGGAAGTGGAATGTAAGGTAGTCTGGTGAATACTGGATGGATATGAAACTATCTGTCTCAAGGTTTTGTGGGACATACAATGTGCACATGCATGTAAGATGTGTACATACATAGACAGACAGACAGACAGAGGTATTTGTGAAATAACTTCCATCTTGGTGTTGCAGGTGTCACCTCAGAAAGTAGATCTTAACGCAAGATTATAAGAGTCCATCCTTTTGAACATGTATGTTATAATGACCACTAATAAATAGATTTTTATTTATTTTAAAAAGAACATTATATCTTATTATTGCTTTAGTAGAAGAACAGAAGTTACCTTAGATATTGATTCCTGGCACAGTGATGGACCATTTTAGAGAGAAGGTCAGCCTGTGTGATCATGCTGTCCTAAGGCTTGACATCATTATTCTTAACTGGAGCATTCCTCTTCAAGTAATACTACTGATTTCAGCAGCAGTACTTGAAGAGAAAGAGGGAGCTTCACAGTAGGTGAAGAAAAGATAGGTGGTACAACTTGGATGGGGATTTGAGCAACCTGGTCTAGTGGAAGGTGTCCTTGTCCGTGGCAGGGGTGTGGAATTTTAAAGTCTCTTCAAACCCAAACCGTTCTATGATTCTATGAACTTGGCCTGTAATCCTTTACTATGAGGTTTCTGAGGGGCAGGGGAAAGGGGAGCAAAAGCATTTATTTCAGAGTATGAATAATATTGCCATAGTCTCATGTTAACATTGGAAATGGCATTTTAGTGAACTACAGTGTACACTGTAGTACACGGCCAGATGCTCTGGAATGAAGTGAAGCTCATCCCATTTGGATTTCTTCTGTCTAATTTTACTTTCCAAAGCTACATCCATTCTTTCAGAAAGAGGATAATCTAGCAGAGCTGAATGAAGTCATAGCCCTTGACTGCAGGGCTTGCTTTTATGGCTGGCTCTTTTTCAGGTCACAAAAATGAAATGAGAAACTCATGTCCTACCGTGTTGTACATATGTACATGGACCTATCTATCTTCATTTCACTTTTTCAAACATTTGTGGTTTTTATTTTGTGAATATTGTGTAATTGTATTTCTTTTTGATTCTTTCAGAATGTTCTGATCGTGGAGGTAAGTTGGGTGCTTATGTCATATTGTACTTTGATGAAGTCTAGCTGTGATTGTGTTTGGTTTCTAAAACCCATCTGTGTTTACTCTTGTTTAGCTGGGAGGTGGTGAAGAGGGAGAGGGGTTGATTTGCTTAATGACCTCTCAATCTTTTTGCAACTGCCTAACAGATCAAGCTACATTGCTGCTGCTCTAATTTGCACTCTGCCTTGTGATACCCGGAAGCCTTTGTTTCTGCATCATTTGATTTGCTCTTTCTCTGGCTTCCTCAGCTCCTGTTCTGCAAGTTGTTCTGTTCCTTGGAGGGCAATGAATCAACTGCAGTGATGCCCTGCACTTCTCAGTTGCATGACTTTGAAATAATAGCATAGCCCTGCACATGCCTTACAGTGTCAGGGTTGTTCACATGCTGGTTGAGAAAGTCAGTCATTCTCTCAAGCCCCCGTGACTCCTGCTCATCAGCATTGCATCCTGTAGTGTCCCCTGGGGACGGCCCATCGCAGATGTGTTGCTGATGTAAATCAACACTGTTCAGTTGTGGAAGAAAAGAATGCATCGTCTCACTGGTGCTGCAAATCCACTCTTCATTAGTCTAGGTGATTCTCTTTTAAAATATTGGAAAACCAACTAGGACGGTTACAGAGCGTGTCAGGATCTGACTGGTATTTCAGACCCAGGCTGCTTGTGTGGGAAGTAAGCTGGACAGTGTAAGGAAGGAAATACTGGAATGTCTCTTCTTAGCAAAGGAGGGGAAAAAAGTTATCAACCACAGAGATGTCTGGTTGCCTGCATAGCTCCTAGGAGCTCCATATTTAGTAAAGTCTTTGACACTGTCTCCCACAGCATTCTCCTGGAGAAACTGGTGGCTTGTGGCTTAGACAGGTGTATTCTTCACTGGGTAAAAAACTGGCTGGATAGCTGAGCACAGAGACTTGTGGTGAACGGAACTAAATCCAGTTGGCAGCTGGTCACAAGCGGTGTGCTCCACTGCTCAGTTTTGGAGTTTGGGATCAAGTGCTCCCTCAGTAAGTTTGCAGACAACACCAAACTGTGTGGGAGTGTTGATCTGCCTGAGGGTAGGAATGCTCTGCAGAAGGACCTGGACAGGCTGGATCGATGGGTTGAGGCCAATTGTATGAAGTTCATCAAGGCCAAGTGTCAGGTCCTGCAGTTGGGTCACAACAACCCCATGCAGCGCTACAGGTTTGGGGAAGAGTGGCTGGAGAGCTGCCCAGCAGAGAGGGATGAGGGGGTGCTGGTTGAACAAGCCTTATGGGGAACGGCTGAGGGAACTGGGATTGTTAGTCTGGAGGAGGCTGAGGGGAGACCTTATTGCTGTCTATGCTGAAAGGAGGCCGTAGTGAGGTGGGTATTGGTCTCTTCTCCCAAGTAACAAGCAATAGGATGGAGGAAATGGACTCAAGTTGTGCCAGGGGAGGTTTAGGTTGGATATTAGGAAAAAAATCTTTACTGAAAGAGTGGTCAAACACTGGAACAGGCTGCGCAGAGAAGTGGGAGAGTCATCATCCCTGGAAGTGTTCAAAAACACATAGATGTGGCACTCTGGGACATGGTTTAGTGGTGTGGGGGTGTTGGGTTGACGGTTGTACGTGATGATCTTAGACATCTTTTCCAACCTCAATGATTCTATGATTTGCTAATGCTAACTGCTGTAACAGACACCAAAAAACATCTCTGGCAAATTCTGTTTATGCTAACAGCTATCTGGAGAGCAGAGACGAGATGTTGCTAATGAAAACTTCACACCCACAGAGTTCAGGATGAACTGCTGCTCTCCATGCCATGGTCAGTTTTGTAGCCAGGTATCCACTGATCTCATTCAGATCAGGTTGAGTGTAGCAGCTCAGGAGAATACTCATTTGTACCAGACTAAGAAAACAACAAAAAAGGCAGATTTAGCCTTGACATGGAGAGATGTTGACTTACTGTAGTCTTGAGCATAATACAAAAAGTGATCTCCGCATCTTTGCAATGCCCTGTAAAGTCATCTCCAGTCCCGTGTTGCATCCCAAGCACTAGAAGCATAGCTGTTTTCAAGAGGAAGTGGACAGTCCTTTAACTGATGATTTTATGAGTAGAAAGTGCTTGCTTCAAAAAGTGTAAGCTCAGTTATAACATTTTTTGGATGTGGCTCACAATACAATGGGAAGAATACATCATTTCCACAAAATAGGAAGGTGGAACTGCTCAATCATTGTGCGGATTTCCTCTTTTCAGCTTTCCTTTGTTTTTTACTTACTCTGTTTTTCATGTTTTGTAAGGATATTGTTGGAACTGGAAGGACTATGAAGGTTCTGCTTAATAATATAGAAAAATACCAGCCAAAAATGATTAAAGTGGCAAGGTGAGTAAATTAATTAGTAATTAATTAGTCTAACCCAGCACATTTTCCAGTGGAGGTTCCTATTCCGAGATCCTGCTTTAACTCGATGCTGTGGTGTGGCATGGGAAGTTCTGCAGAGGCGCTGCTCGAGTCACTGAGAGGAGGGTGGAGGACAGGAGAGGAAGTGCTCCTTCTGCAGTGGCAATGGCCTTCAGCCACTTCAAGGCAGGCACTGATGGACTATGAAGGGGAGCACACCCATCTCTTCCCCACCATCATGGTGCTGTCAGGGGGAGAAGCAGAACAAGAACTGTGATTCACATAACTCGGAAGTTTTTTGATAAGGGGAGTAGTTTTTATGCATGTTACTCAGGTAACTATCTAAATTTACATGGGGTTCATTTTGTTTTTAATTACAGTTTGTTGGTGAAAAGAACATCTCGGCCTGATGGGTACAGACCTGATTGTAAGTGTTGTGAAAATCTGTACAAGAGGTTACCACTATTCTACTACTTGCTTTTCATATCATTCTCTGGGCTGCTAGAAATGTTGTCGGTGGGACTATGGGATGCAGTGGAAGGATTTGTATAATTGTGGTTTGGAAAGCCAAGCCTCCTTACAGTCTGATGTTTTCTGCAAAGTGGTAACTTTATAGGGAAGTTATGAAAGCATTTTATTTTATCCATGAAAGGTGTTTCATCTTCTGTCTCTGACAAACTATATAGAAGAGAAAGTCCATTTCTTCCTTTTCCTTCCTCATTGCATCTCTTTGGAGGAGCAGCAGGATTCCGTCTCAACACAAAAGGTGTTTTATTGTGACCTAGTTATTCAAAAGTTTTACATTTTTATAACAGAATAACACTTTTTACTGTTTTTTTTAAAGTAGTATAGTTTAAAGGGTGAACATTGGTATTATAAATAAATCTCACCCCCAAAAAAAGCAAATGAGAAATTGGACTTTTTAAACTTCCTCCTGCTGCTCTGTTAGTGTCATACCAGCACCACTTCGCTCTGAATTACTGGTACTTGTGCTGTGCTATGATGAAGCCGTAAATGGAGCTATACCAAGCTATTGTCATTTTAGACTTACTAGAGTAAATGATGTAATAACAGGTGTGGCTAAATACTGAATAGATCCATCTAGAAGAGATTGGCCAGTATTTGCTACTGAAGAAGGCTCTGGTCAGCTGAGCTGGGGAGGAGAGGAGGGTGGAAGGAGAGTAGGCAGGTGAGTACCAGGAGGCAGCATGAAGGGTCTTGATTTGGGATGTGAGAGAGAGGGAAACGTTACGAAGCGAAAGTTACTCAAAGTTGGGCATGGCCCTGTGGTTTTAGCCCAATCATCTGAACTGTGACCTAAACATTTTGTTGTACAACTTTTTATGTGAGGTATTTTTAACATTTAAAATTTAATCCAGTAAATTAAAGTGTATATTTGACTGGATTCACTAATGTAAAACATATACAAAATACAATAAAATTACTTAATGATGCTAGCTTATTATTTGTATGTGGTAACATGTAAAATGAAATGGGTTTTATCCTTGTATATTTATGCTATGATGAATTTTATAAAACATCAGAGATCTCTCTTGTAAATCACTGACAGTGCTGTGTCGTTTCCTCACACAAATTTATGATTCCAAAGCATCTAGTACCTACAGTTTTTGACAACTGAATAAACTGCTTACTTGAATACCTGTAAAATTTTTTATGCTGACCTATTCTTGTGTCCATAAGGTTGTGTTTTTCTCTAGTTACTTAGTGAACAATTTGGGAAGAGTCTAACTTGTTTTATATAGTGCTGGTACTGCACAGACCTTCAGTCCCAAAAAGATACATGCCTATGCTTAGCTTCACCTGTGTGAGTTGTATGATTCAGCTGCACTGCATGCTTTTGCTTTGTTAAGCATGTGCATGAGTCTTCATAAGGTTGGGGCTTTAATTTAAGAAGCATTTGACATGTTTTGGTAGCATAATATGGACAATATTTTTTGTTATTCTCAGAAGAAAATACATAAAGCTCTGAAAGTTACTCCTGAATTAAAATTGTACATTTTTTTCAGTGTTAGTGTGATACAGGACGGTTGTCGTCACACGCGTACACCAATGGAACTTCCAAATGTAGGCAGAATTTTTCAGCTCTGATTTTGGCTTCCTTCCACAATGTATCTGTTGTGCCACTGACAATTGCACACAACCTCCTACTCTCCACTGAGTATTCACATCCCTGTCACAAAGAGTCTATGAGCGGGAACTGGTTATAGGGCTACTGCTCGCCTTGGTGTCTCAGAGTCAAAAGTAACATAACCCCAGGTGACTACGTGTATCAATAGCTTGCTTGTCAGAGAACCAACACATGGATTTAAGGGCTGTATAATTGCCACTGATGTACTGATGGTGTTTGTTATTTGTCTCAATGCAGATTATGGATTTGAAATTCCAGATTTATTTGTGGTAGGTTATGCCTTAGACTACAACGAGCACTTCAGAGATCTAAACGTAAGTTTCTTTTAAGAAGTAGTTTTTTAAAAATCACTGTTTTACTTTTACAGGGTGTCTTAAATACCCTATAATTTGCCTCCTCCCTGGGGCCTTTATGTCATGGTTGGGATCCTTTCAGTGAGTGTAGAACTCTGTACAAAACCTCAACTGATCCAAAGAGTCACTGCTCAGCACCATGACCGGTCCCTTCCCATCTCTTCCCCTAAGAGCAGAAGTCACACCTCTGCTGCACTTCCATCTCTGGTGAACCTGGAATTTCACAGGTCACCATTCTCAGTACATGCAGAGACAGCAGTAAAAAGTGAAACCCAGGTACAGTTTAGGCCGTGTTGCCTGCCCCTTTTCTCAGTGAAATAATGATGGATAAAAGGTGCAAGCCTCACCTTTGCTTCCTGTGGTACTCCCAGGGGTGGACGTCAAAGCTGGGAGGGGAAGGGGAAATTACAAGATCATTAGATTGGTCAAGCAAAAGTATTTCTGAACAATTCATTAATAATTAATAATGTAATCAACTATGCTGTCGCAATCAGTGCTACCTTTTTTTTGCAGCACATATGTGTTATCAATGATCATGGCAAAGCAAAGTACAGAGTCTGAAGCAGTAACATCCTCATCTGAAGATCTGTAAGCTCTGAAGCAGAAATTTGACTACAGTCCCTCAAGCATCTCCCAGAAGAGCGATGCAGCTGACTTGTGTTTCATTCAACTCAATATAGTAAAGGGTTTACTCTAGAGATACTGATAAAAATTTACAGAAATGAGAGCTCTTATTTAAAATGTTAAGCAGAGGGCTTTTAACGTTATTACCTTTTTAAGTATTAAAATTACCACATAAGATGCCTTTTGACTAATTCATCTGCCTCAAGTCTCACTGTGGATGCATCTTTCCTTCGCTCAGCCCATCATTCCACCCATCCATGCACTTTGCTGCGTTGCATGAGGTCATTCAAAAGTGCCATTCTGCACATGAGGACTGTTTTACCGAGTTTTATTGACTTCAGCATCCCTTTAGTCATGGTCAGTATTTCTAGTATTTCATATTATGGCCTCTTCCAAACAGAAGTTTTAACTCCCAGAATGCACTGGACTAGAGTGCTGAGGCAAAGTGAACACCCCAAGGCACTGTTGATCTGAAACTGGAAGATGTCATGGGTTTGGTGTGTCACATAGCCATAGCTCTGACCTGTTTAATGTGCTGAGTTTTGATGAAGACAAAACAATGCCAGGCAGGTCTCAATTTCTGTGTGGTATACTCTTACTTCTATAGGACACAAACAAGTAAAAAAATTAACATAATGTTCTTCTGTTCATACATTCTTAATTAAATTTCACTAAGCACAACATCTTAATGCTAGTCAGACAATTATTCAGTTATGATTTGATTTTTTTTGTAGCGTGTCTAAGTTGAGACTTTTTGTAACCATTTGTCATCTTTAAGAATAGAGATCTGACAATGTTGGGGAAGACTTATATTAAAAAAGCAAAAAAATGTATAGGAAAACATAGAAAACCAGTTAATGCATGAATACTGTAGACTCTAGAGATTTGTTCCTTGCGTTATACTTCAAGTTTGAAGAAGTCTGTTAATTTACATGCTGTATCAAGTGTAAAGAATTTAATTCTCTACTGTATGTAACTGTTCTCAACAACTTCCTGAGGAGAGCCAATGCAAAGTAGCTGTATATCAATAACTTTGCTCTGAACTGTAAGAGGCAGATTGTTACTAGATTCAGGTTCCTTTAAACTAATAAAGAAACATTTGTTACATTGCACAGTTGTTTATTTTCCTGTTTAAGCATATTTCCCACATCCCATAAAAGCTCTTCAAAGATACGCATTTAACTGGTAATTGAAACATACCTCATGTATGTATCCTGTGGCTCGTAAGTTGTTCTTTAGATAAAATCCATGATGTTAATGGAATAAATAAGATCGAAGAATTATTGTGATCACTAGAGAAATGCTTTAGCCCTCTCTTCTTTACTCTTTTACCCTAAATTTTTTAGAAGTTGGGTTGAAAGGTTTTCCCTCGTAGAATAACTTTCTTCTCTTCTGGAAAAGAAAGCACACATATACAGCCCCTGGGAGAAACTGGTGAAATGAGTTTCTTTTATGATAGTGTTAAAGTTTTTCTTAATGCTTCTGATTTCTATGGATTTAGTAGTATTGGCATATTGAATTGGTAAACTTGCTTAGGCGTAGTCCAGGAGATCCATTGGGTTATTTCCCTTTTTCCTCCTCTCTTCTTAAAAAGTCCCAATCCAGTCCATTATGCTACGATGATCAGCCTTCAGCAACAACAACAGTAATGCAGCAAGTGAATTAGTGTGAAATTAGGGTGAAAATGTGAAGTACCATAGATGCACATAATTCAGACTGTGTTAAAGTTGTTTCATTGGAAGACTCAGATTATTAAAATCTACATACTTAATAGAAAATACCAGATTTATAGAAAGGATAAGAAAAATTTGAGCGTTTCTTCAAATTAATTGTATTTCCTCCTGCAGTACCTAAGTGCACTGTGAAAGGCAGCTTAAATTCTCTTCCTCTTTAGACTGGAGGGAGAAATTTCCACATAGAAGTTAATGCAGGTGTGTGCTACCTCTTCCAAAAGTTAGCTCTGGCTGTACCCACCAGAGCACACAAATAACCAGAGAGGGTGAGTCAGCCCCTCTCTCTGCATTTGAAACCTTGTAGGTGAGAGAAGCAGAGTGTCATGTACCTTACCTATCCTTTCCAAAAAAATGAGAATAAAGTGGAGCAAAAATAAAGCTTTCATCCTAACTTCCTATATCTTTCACGGCTGTTCATTTAGTGCTATGTGCCTTCCTCTGGGAAGTCACCACACACAGCTGTCCCTGTACCTGAACCACTCGGACTGGCCGCTGTGTTTGCCAGGGACACTGGAGCGGTGAGAACGCTCCAGCAGCTTGTGGCCAGCCAGCCAAGATTGGTCGCATACGGGAATGACAGTCTGGGATTATTTTGTGGTGTTGAAAGGATAATTCTGTGTTAAGAAAGACCAATATTCTGTGCTTTTCATAAATGATGGGAGGGGGAAAATAACTAAAACAGGTATTGCAGAAAGGTTGTAATTGATTTTGCAGGAAAGACGGAGAACACCCAGTATTTTTCAGAAGGGAAAAAGGAAGCATCAGTTCTGGGGAAGGCTCTGTACGGTTGTCAGCTGCAGTTCAGATACCGATTTGTGCTTTTATGAAGTACTGGCTGGCACTGTCTCCCTTTCTGTCCATGAACCAGTGCTTGGTTTCTTTGTACCTTCACCTGAACACAGGTGTAGCCACAGCCGAATTTTTCCCTGTTGCCAGTGGTTGTTTTGGAACACAACAGGGGTTCCAAATCTGCAGAAACTGAGACTCAATTAGTTAAACACTTTGCTGTTGTGCCTTGTTCCTTCTGCTGCTGCATGGAGCAGTGAACTACTGACAAACTACGGGAGTTTGCACTACAGCAATTTATTTGTACTACTAAGAGAGAAAAAGGTTTGGATCCCATTCAAAGGCTGACCTTTAGTTTGTTTCAAGAGTGGCATGAATGATTTCCCCTTTTTTTACATAGCACAGAGAGACATAAATGACTCGTAATATTATGATCTAGCAGTCTCTCTTAGACCTTCATGACTGGGCCTCTAATAATGGTAAGAAAAATCTCATTTCTAATCATGAGACAAAACTTCATTACGTTAAATTATTACTACACATGTTCCAAAGTCCATTGGTCCTACTGTTAGTAAAGCTTTGTACATTTCTCAGCACTGTTAAGTCATGAGGTTATACAAGGGACAACTCTATTGCTGGAAGATATATGTTATATTGAATTTGCATAGAAAAAACACTGGAATTCAGCTAAGACATTTCGGAAGTAATGCCAGAAAACAGAGTTATCTTGAAGTGCCTTTTCTCAGTAATTTTGCATTTTCCTAAACTATTGTAAGTATTAATCTCTTTTCTTCAGATTGTTTTTCTCCAGTAACACCCTATTTTATGTTGTTTTCTATCTTGATGTCTTTTAAATAAATTCTTGCCAGTCCTCTAGTTTTTAATGACACTCATAAATGTTTGTTGTTTTCCAGGAAAGATAAGCCCTTGTTCTGAAACATTCAGGGCAGATTTTTTAAGGTCCTTAAGCATCCAAGAAATGTTTATGGGATTTCACCTGCTTGGGTGGGTGCCTAGCTGTATTCTGCAGTGCTTATGCACCTTTGAAAAGATGTTTCTTGCCTAATCTGGACAGACTGGGAAAACATGCAATAATGCAACGTAGAATGAAGACAGGAGGTACCAGAATAAAAAGGAGAGGCAAGTACAATTGTGTCATTCTTTGATGTGGGCATGAGTATCTCTTTGTCTGTCTGAATCATGCTAACGTTGTTTAATTGATTGATTTATTTGGGTTTTCATGAGAATTACTGCAGTAGTGTTTCTGCTTTTTCTTAGGAAATTTGGAAAAAAGTGCTCAAAATTTAGCTTTTGGAAATTAGAGCTCAGCATAATAAACACTAGCACAGAGAGACAAAAACCAGACCAGATGTAAAGGAATATTCAACAGTAGCATGAGCAGCAGAAGAGCCAAGGAGGGTGAAAAATGAGGTATCATTAAAAACTTTAACTCTGGAATATTGACTGGAATGGATCCACCAGTGAGTGTATAGGAAGGGTACTAAAATCAGTTAACTATGACCTGCTGAAGGAGTGTGAGATGGAAGGCTTTCTGCTGAAAGCCAGTTTGGGCCTGGGCCCATTTGTGCCATATGGGAAAGAAAACCATAATAAAGTGAAATTGTTCATCTTTCTCCAGAAGGCATCTCACATAATAACATGATGCTATTAACTGCAGTCAAGCTTTTAGCTACAAACACCCAATTTAAGCTTCCAGTACTGTTTTGCCTTAGCCATGTATGAGGCAGTCTGAGTTCTGTAAAGTCAATCTGAATCTCCCTGTGTCTTAAATTTAATTAACCACATTGGACACCTATGTTACCCCATCTGAATAGATCTCAGCATTGTTACTAACAGTCTCTCTTTATTTTCTGAGGTTTTTAGGTTTCCATCTCAGGCTTTACCCTATTCCTTAGATCTTTATTTCCATTTCTCCCAGTTCCTCTTAGCCCATGTTGGGCAGAAACCAATTTACAAGCTCAGCAGGTGTTTGGAGCAAGGCAAAGGATGAACTGGAGATATGGCACAAACACCAGTGAGTTCGCAACCCTTAGAGAAAACAAACCGCTTGAACTGCTGAGGCACTCTACTGGGTGGCAGTCACTGGTCTTTCATGAGAGAATTTAAGAAAAGTAGCAAATACTTAATTTAAGGTGGGGGTGGAAATCCCTGGTTCATGTCCAGAAGTATCAAAGTGGAGAAGCTGTCTGGCTTGCGAGGCGTGGAGAGAGGACTTGGTGTGCCACCACCATTGCCCAGCACGGTTTTTTTGCTCCCGGAGCTTGGGCAGCAGCTGCAGCTGGAGGAGGAATCTGGCCACTGAGATGCAAATCAGCACAACAAGCATCCCTTTGCTGCAGTATTTCCAGCTCCAGGACTCAGACAAGTGCAGAAGTGGGTTTATCCACGTCAGGTTTGGCACACAGTTGATTCTGTCAGGCCTCAGCCGTATCTTGCAGCACCCTAGCCAAAATATGCCTCAAAATATTTTGATATTTTCCCCATAAAGGTCACAAACTGGAGTCCAAAGATAGCGAGTGTTTTCCTGATTATATTCCACTTATTTATAGAAAAAGAGTCAAATATACGAACACATTTCCTGTGCAGAAGGGAAGAAGGAAGTCAATGCACGTCATGGCACTGCCCCAGACTGATCTGAAGTCTTTGGTTGGGCGCAGACCTACCAGGGTTATTTTCCATCCCTTAAACTGTGTTTAGACTGTCTCAACTTTGGCA